TGGTTTCTAGGGTTGCCTTTAGAACCAACAGCTCTCTTTTCTGCTGGCAATGGGACAAACATGTGCAGATATGGAGTGGCTGTACTGGATACTGCTCATTAGAATTTAAGCATGTATCAGTTCAACAATGAAGAGCAATATACCAAACCAGCAGCAAAAGGTAATGCAGACATTATCCCAACAGCTCAGGACTTGACTGAAATGCTTTTTGCCCAATCACTACCAGTCCTTGCTAAGGAAAATGGCGAAACACAGCTTTGGAATATGTGCCCTTGCTTGGTTCCAGAACACACAGAGGGCTGAGCAAATGTTTTGCCTTGTCTGAAAGCAAAAGATTCTGCAATGCATGGGATCTGCATGGCCAGAAGTTATATATTTGTGCTCCTAGGTTGCATAAGGGCTCTATTCAGCTGCAAACCAGTAGGTGTTAATGGTTACAACAATTAGTTGATAAGCTTGCTTGGCCAAGAAAGATATGAATTTCAAAATGGGAAAGTTGATTTAAAGCAATTATCCAAAGCAGCCAGTCTTCCATTTAGCCATGATCACAAAGAGGAACTTTTGGATTTAGTTTGCCTCTCATTGGGAGGAAAGAGAATAGCAGAACTGCTATCTTCATGCCTGGCTTATGCTTTTCCCAGGGGAATCTGGCTAGCCACTAGCAGAAGATGGATATTTGAAAAGATAGTTCTTCCACAGCATAGCTTTTTCTGTTATTACATTTTATGAAAAAGGTAATACCATCTATGTGTTTCAAGCAATGTCACTTGGTGGAGTGGGAAAGAGATGGCCAGGTTGTTTTTCTGGCTGACACATCCAAATGCAAACTGATCAAATGTTGGAGTGGTCATGTCTATGAAGCAGTCTTCCTGTACATCTTGACACTAGGCTGTGCATGCAACTATACATCCTCAAGCCCTGCTATGCTCTCTATAATGATATCAGATCACACAAAAACAAACATTATTAATCATCATACAGCTGGAAATAACCCATTTATTTATTTAGGCTATTTTTATCCCATCCTATACTAATTGTCTCTGGATGGCTTACAATGTAATACGGATCTGGGTATGATCTAGTCATACATAAGCATTTTAAGTCAAGCAGATTTCAAATGAAATAATACACACACACACATGCATTTTCCACTGAAATCAATGGGACTTATGTGTGCCCAGCAGTAGTTGAATTGAGTACTTATTTTTGATGCCAGAAAAAACTAAGCTACTAGAAGAATTATATTAATTTGGTTTTAAAAAATCTGTTAAATAATGATGTTTAGGAAACAGATAATTGTCACTTTTCTCCTTACTCTACACATTGTTTTGAATCAAAGAATAAAACAACGAACCAATGGAGCAGTTAATAATTATTGTTGGAATAAGAGGATGATGGAAACACATTCTTCTGAGCCTAACTTGTAAAAGTCCATACATAAGACTTTACACAGCTTGTGAAATCTCTTTGCATTCCAAATTTCAATTTGACAGTACTGAGCCACGAGATAAAACCATCCTGGAAGATGGATTAAGATGCCATGTGCCTTTATTTGTTCTATCAATATTACGAGTGGACTGGCTAGTTTAAATAATGCATATAGCCAGGAAGCTGTGAGAATGGTGTGCCAAGTTGAGAAAAGAAAGAATTGCCTCAGTAGCTCAGCTACTTGGTTATGTATTTTGCTCTGTGATATTCAGTGGAAGTCAGATTTTGGACAATGGGGTAAGACTGTCCTCTAAAGAGCCAATACAATTAGACATATTGATAAAGGTAGAAGCTCACACAACTGACCTTAGGACCCAGTGCGCTTTCAGTCCATACATAAAAACTTGTGATATCCTAACATTTGGATGTATTCTGTGCACATGGTAAAGTATGATGTTGGAATTGTGATGGTCACATGATCACCTTTGAGACAGGGAAGCAAGACAACAGTGTGACCAGTCATTCCATCACTCACTGTGATGGCGTCCAAAAAAAGAAAAAGAAAAAAAGAAAAAGAAATAAAGTTATATTGCCACAAGAGTGCAACACATCCACAATTCCATACAACTAAGGGATGTCAATACTCTTTTGTGATACAGGGAATGTTCTCTGAGAATGAGGCAGACCATTACTAGAAAGAACTCTATATAAGGATCAGAATCTATTTGAGCGATAGATTTGCCATGCACTGGGACTTCAACTCTTTGTCCTCAGAAGAAAAGGCTCAGGTTAATGCAAGAGGACTAAGCAATGGAAAAAAGGTGTGTGGCTTCCATGTGTGGCAGTGGTCAAAAGGGTGAACACCACCCTTGGTTGCATAGCCAGAAGTGTGGCTTCTAGATCGAGAGAGGTATTACTACCACTCTTTATGACTCTGGTGCACCCACAACTGGAGTATTGTGCTCAGTTTTGGGGCCCTCATTACAGAAAGGATATAGCCAGGTTAGAGTCAGTGCAGAGTAGGGCCACAAGGTTGGTGGCCAGTTTGCAGGGGATGGGATATGAGGTGAGACTGAGGTAACTGGGTCTCTTCAGCCTGGAGAAGAGGAGACTCAGAGGGGATCTGTTGGCGACATACAGGTATGTGAGGGGATGTCACATGGAGATGGGTAGAGACCTGTTCTTCCCTGCAGAGGAAGGCAGGATGCGCTCCGACAGAGCAGAAGTTCAGGGAACCAAGGTTCCATTTAGATGCCAGGAAGCACTTCCTGACAGTTAGGACCCCGAGGGTGTGGAATGGGCTTCCACGAGAGGTCGCTGAGGACCCATAGGTGAGGGTGTTCAAAGATAGGCTGGACATGCACATGGTGGGCATGTCATGAGCAGAGCCGGCTGGAGCCGGGGGTCAGACTAGATGGCCCGGGAGACCCCCTCTGACTCGCTCTGTTTCCATGTTTCCATGTCTTCAAAATACCCAAAGAGTTGTCTTCCCATCTTTGAAGGTGGCTGCATTAGTGTGGGCTTCAATCATGTTTTCACATAGCACTAGTAGCCACTCCTGCTCCATCACAGCTTGAGACTGCTAAAACAGGCCAGGCCTCCGCATCCCACATGTTGGGGGTAACTGGCCTCTCTCAAGGCTCACATTCCATTGTGTAATTTACATACCAGCAGACCTATATTCTAGTCCTTCTAGAATATTGACAAAAACTGTGCAGTAAAACTTGTCCTCTTCTGCTTTTTACAGCTTTCCTTTAATAAATTAAAATATCCCTGGGTTACAAAATGCCCCAAAGTTTGTATAATTATAGTTTTGTCGGGCACTTTTATACACCCAAAAAAAGGCACAGAAAATGATAACTACAGTTCATCTTAGTCTATTTTGAAAGCCAAGGGTCTGAGTTAAAGCCTTCAGCAAACGGAATTAAAATCCATTGAGGAAAAGCTCTTTAAAGCTTGTTAAAACTCTGTATTCCTCAAACAAATGTTATGAGGATTGAAGGTCAATAGATCAAGCATTACTATACAGATTGTATTGTTATGCATGGCTCCAGAAAAGATTAAATCTTAAATTACCTTTGCTAGATGAAGTCATTAATAAATTCTTATGCTCATTCAAGATTTCTGGAAAAACACTCTACCAAAGAAAAAGCCTTTTCATACGCAGCATTGGTCTCTTTAAGGGACTTTTGCCTGGGGTCAAAAATGACCCCTTTTGTAGATAATGGTTAGTTTTATCATTGAAGGTAGTTGAAGGTTAAATAAGTTTTCATAATGAGGCTGGGTTAACCAACCTAAATTCGATTGTATTTAATTACACTGTTACTTTAGGCTTAAACTTGATCTACTCTATGACAGAACATAAAGAGAAGCATACCCAGCTTCCAGCCCTACATTGAGATTTTCACTGTGGTCATCTAGTCCTATGTCTGAAATGTGACCTTGTGGGGAAAAAACCCAATCCATAGATCCACTATGCAACCTGGAACTCACTAGCATCTCAGTCACGCAAAGCCTGTACAACAAAGAGAGAAGAGAACAGGGTTTTGTCCAGAGGGTATGTAGATGTACACTTACTGACACATTCACTCACTCGTTCACTCTAAAACCATCCGAAATTTGTAAAGTATTTTCAATGTACCTATATTTTACTAGTAGTGAAAATGGGCAGCAACTATTAGCTAAGCAAAATATTGGGAAGGAGCATAAAACATATTTTTAATGACTCTCTCTCTCCATATATATATATATATATATATATATATATATATATATGGACTTTAGGTAAAATTTTCACTGTAGCATAATACACAGGTAAACATTTACCTTAAAATCTTATGCAAACATAAGGTAACTTGGGTTAATTCTCTGCATCAAAGATTTTTTTAATTTGCAAACTTGGAGCCCAGTCCTGTGAACCATATATAGCACTTTACTCATGAACTTAGTAAAGGAGAAGGACAGACAAATGCAGTTTGCACCTACTTGTGCACACTCTCACCATTTTGTGTTGCCTATGTGACACATGCACTATGTTTAACAGTCAGCTGATTGTAAGTAAAGGGTATCAGAAGTGCATAGAGGTTTGCACTGGATCATACAGTACGCTCTGTGTGTGTCTATGTAATACACATGATTGAGTGCACATTATGAATCTGAGTCTTGCATCATTATTTCAGGTCTGTATTGTGTCTCTGCAGGGACCAGCTCTTTAAACAGATAAAATCTTCATTACCTGATGATCACCACTTTTTTTGAGACCATGAACTAATTCTTAGTGCATTATTGACTTGTCTGGTTTCTGATATGAAGGCATAAATATATAGCACAACATCAGCAAACAAGTGAGGATTTAGAAAATGAAATCCCTGTATAGAACCCCAAAAGATCTGCAGCTTTCTCTACTAGCAAATAGCAAAACTATTGTGGTTGATCTTGCTCATACAGTAAACAGGCAGGAAATGTAATACCTGTTCAAAACTTCAATGATATTCACTGCCAATGCAATTTCATTTAATAGTGAACTCTTGCTTTAGCTTGCCTTGTTCCAGCCATCAACATTTGAAGGATACTCAGGAGCAGTATAATATGAGACTCTGCGACAAATTGGGCCTGGCTACTTCCATGTATGTAACTCTGAGAAACAGAGGGATGAGAGAGAATAAGAAGAGATTAGTATTTGACAAAGCTTGATCTGTTCAAAACACTTTTTTAAAGGATATATTTTATAAAGCTACTGTAGCAACTGAATAGAATCTGACACAAAACCAGCCTGGTAAAACGTGGTATGGAATGCAGCATCATGTAAAGATGACACAGGCACACGATCGCAGATGTTTCGTTTGCCTTTATCAAGTCCTGTGAAAAGCGACACAAGTCGAAATGCTGGGGCCGCTGCCTTCCTGCCCCATTTATGAGCTTCTCAGAGCCAAGGGTCAGACCTTTGCTGGCAGCAGAACGTTGGACTAGACTAACCTTTGGCCTGATCTGGGAAGGCAGCTCTTGTACTTGTAAAAGCAGTGCTAGCCTGCCAATCCCCACACCCACCCTGTAATTTGATTATAATGACAGCATTACAACAGAACTAAACCCATGCATTAAACTGCGTTTGGATAATAGGTCTTATTCAGCGTGCCAAACCTGGAGTCTGATCCATGTATTTCCTTTCTAAGGCGCTTCCCCGTTGGGGCAAGCTGGATCCATAGGTCCCCTCACCCCACTTACTGACATGCATCTTTGCATTCTCATTTTATCTGTAGGCACAAGGAAAACTGGATTCACCGCCTTTTTTTTGCACGTTATAAATTACCATCAATTGAGTCCTTTATGATAGAAACCATTGTAACTTGTCCTTCCATGTCACCTTGCATTATACAATTCAGACTGATGGCATTTATGTCCCTGAACCATGTTAATCTTTTGTCACCACCCACTGTATTCTTCCTGTAAGGCACTTCCATATTGATGAGGCACCTGCTCATAAGTGCAGAATCAATTTCTCTGGGACCTATGCCTCTGAGGTCCATTGCAAATGAAAACTGTACTAGAAAACACTTTCATTTGCACCCTCACCCATGAAATGGCTAGGGAAACATCAAACAGTGCTTTTGGAAAAAGGTGAGTCCAGTGTTCTCTGCTGATTCCATCAACTTTGTGTGGACCAGCCAATGAGGTGATACTCCTCTCTTCTGGCAGAAATATTACTACTTATGAGGGGATTAAGAACAAAACAACATAGAAACATAAAAATAGAGCGAGTCAGAAGGGGTCTCCCTAGTCTGACCCCTGGCTCCAACTGGCTCTGCTCATGACATGCCCACCATGTGTATGTCAGCGTCATGTTGGATCAGACCAAAGCTAGATATCAGGAAAAGCTTCCTGTCAGAGCAATTTGATAGTGGAACCAGCTGCCTAGAGAGGTGGTGGGCTCTCCCACACTAGAGACATTCAAAAAGCAACTGGACAGCCATCTGAGTGGGATGGTATAAACTTGTGTCTTGCAACAGCAGGGGGTTGGATCCAATGGCCTTCATGGGCCCCTTCCAACTCTACTATTCTATGAAGGGTCCATCTAGTCCAACAATCTGTTCCTGCAGTGGCCAACCACCTGCTCACAAGATCCCACAAGTAGGATATGAGTACAACAGCATTCCCACGCCCAAGCTGGCCAGCAACTGCTTATACACAGACATACTATCTCTGAAAGTAGCTAGTAGCCACTAAGAGCCTTCTCCTCCATGCTTATGTCCAATCACCATTTAAAGTCATCCAACTTGGTGGCCACAGCTGCACTCCATCTGTCTGTCCTGAATATTGCACTTCATGGGTTCATGGGACAACCCTGTGTTCTAATATTATGGGAAAGGGGAAAAATCCCTTCCTTTCTACTTGCTCCATGCCATGGACAATTCCTTGCACCTCTATCCCCTTACTTGCCTTTTTCCTAAGCTAAACAATCTCAGCTGTTGTAACCTTCCCTCACAGGGGGATTACTTTGACCCCTTAGTTGCCCTTTCTGAGGTTTTCCCAATTCTACAAGAGCCTTTTTTTAGGTGACCAGAGCTCTGTACAATATCATAAGTGTGGCTGAAATGTAGATTTGTATAAATGCAGTATGATTAAGGATGGGCAAGCATCTTGTTGAGGTTGAAGGGGGATTCCATCCTGAGATGCCAGTAGATGGACTGTCTATAAAAGTTTTAAATAAATTCTTAAGACTAGCATTTGCACTGGGTTGGGAAGCAAGGAGTTGACATCAATGCAAATCTAATGGGTCTCAGCATTGTGACTCTGGCAGTATGGAGATGTATTTGTTAGCTTCTGTGGAGGTTTTCTTTTTACTTTTTGCAAATTGTAAAACACAGTTCCCTCTGCCCCATGTCTCTGTGTGTGAATAGTAACTGGGCCATCTTCTCCCATAATACAGCATACTTCAGAATCTGACTAAGAACTGAAAGAATTGGTTGTTTTTGAATTATTGGGTGTAATGAAATGCTAGTATGCCTGAAGATAAACCAAGTGACTCTGAACACCTCCGGTTCGGGGGCAGGCACTGTTGAATAGAAAGGGCCAGATGGAGAGTGATGTAACATAATTAATCCTGACATCTGACCTTTGATAAAGACAGCAGGCCAATTGAATAGTGTTGAGTGTTCCCAGATGGGAACTTCTCTATTGTGGGGGAGCTAACTCTACTTTGTTGGACAAGGAGGATGGGGATTCAAGTTGGAATTGACTTCTTGACATGAGTGGTAATCGCTTTAATTAGCTTTGTTCCTAACTTGATGGCTGTCTTCTGCTAATGACCTGAGCATAATAGTTAGAAGCCTCTTGTCTTGATTGGCTTGGAAGGAGAAAGATGAGCAGGAAAAGACCAGCTTCCAACACTGTCTGAGGAGCTCTTTATTCCATTGATAAAAAAGAACTGAATGAAATCGGTAATATGCTGTATGCTATAACTTCATGTCTGTCAGAGCAGCAGAGTAATTTCCCAGTAACAGTGCCCTTCTGGTTTTCACTGCAATTTATGAGGGAGTTGACTATCATTTCCACACAAAGACACAGCATTTCAATGCCCATTACTTGCAAAGTGTATTTATTAATAAGTTAAAAAGCAATCCTATGTACTAACTGAAGAATACCTTTCCCCAAAAGAATACATTTTCCCAGCTAGATATTTAAGAACAGATTGAGGCCAATGGATACACATGCCAATTGAATCACTCAGATATGAGGCCAGCAATGAAGCACTTGCCTCCACACAATCTTTTCTTTTATACATAATCCCAATTCCAACTTTAAAGCAGCCCTGACAAAGCTAACATTTCCAAGAAGGCTGCAGTGTGTTTAAATATAATCCAAAGAACAACCCCTAGATGCTTGCAAACACCAAACTTCTATACCTGCCATTTTATACAACTGTTGTTTCTGCAGTGTTAAGAGCATGTGTTTGTGTGCTTTGGACTGTGGGTTAATTTTAAATTCATCCTGAACTTAAAAGAAACTAGTATGAGTCATATCTGGGGGCACTGTGGTGCTGCAGACAAAAGCACAATTTAGAAACCTGGAAATCACTGCTGATACAGATTAAATTGTATAGAGAAAGAAACCAGCCATTTGAACAGTTTCCTCCTAACAGTACTAACTGTGGTGAAGGCACTTCATCTCTTTAAGCAGAATTCTCACTTTCCTATAACTACAAGCCTCATTACAATGCTATCAAATGTTGGGATATCTGAAGGAAAGTTCACCTAGGGAATGGGAATTAATGCAGCCTACATTAAGTTGAGCAACTTTTGGAAAGCCAATTAGTCTATTCACAGAGCCATTAATACATAGCACTAAGGACATGCACCTAAGTTACTTGCGAAGATGGGAAATGACACATAAATAACCAACTGGGTGTGATGGAGAGGCATACAAATCACAGCTTTTACATTTCCCCTGGCAAGCAAATACAGAACTAAGCGAAATAGATGTGATGCTTGTTTCTCCAAACCCAATTTTGTATACAGAGGGCTTTCAAATTTTCCCTTTGGATTAGCTTAGAATTTACCTGATTTAGTAAATTTAGTAAACAACATTTTAGTGAGTAAAAATAAGTGAGTAATCACTGAAGTCCAACCTGAGGAGAACCATTCCTTAGTACAAGGATGGAAAAAAATCTGTGGCTGTAAAAATGTTTGTGGGGACAAAAGCCAGCCTTCCTACCCTATGCTTAATTCATGGTAGCCAAGTTTTCAGTGCACCTGATTTTGACCTCAAAGTATCTGTACCTATGCTCCATGAGAACAAAAAGAACCATGAGCTCATATAGAGCTATGAGGAGAAGGGGCAGGGAAGCTGCAGGGTGAAATTGGGTGGTAAGTGAACGTCCCGATCCCTCCTGGTTCTTATCAGGTGTCGGGGCTCCCTGCTATCCAATTTTGTCCCTGTAATTTCCCTCCCTTCTCAGTGCAATGTAACAAGGCAAAGCCTGAATTGGGGCTGGAACAAAAAGACTGCAGTGTCCACAGTTTGAAAGTTCAAGGAAGGAAGTTCAGGGGCTGGAAAGCTTGCACTCACTCTGTCTTTGTCTCTCAAGATTCCTCTGGGTTCAAACTGAATCAGGCTCAGGCAAACTCTGGTGCCATCCATAGCTTGGCATTTGATTTAAAACGTCCTATCTGCTTGATGGTGAAAAGCCAGGAAGAATTAGAGCAACTGCTCCTGCTTGCAGAGATAAATTGCAGATGGAATATAAAGCAATAGCCTTTAAAGGGTATTGCTTACTAATGTGAGCAGTGAATTTATTTTAAAATGCTCCACAAGAAGCATCTCTGTAGATACAGGGACGTAACAGAGGCAAGGCATTGTTTCTTGGCAACTCCTGAAAGTGGTGCCACAAAGCAGAAGGGACTTTTATTAGCATAGTCACACTGACTGTCCTGCTGGAGCAGCCTTCCCCAGATGGTGGCTTTCAGATAGTTGGACATCAACTCACATCAGCCCCAGCCAGCATAGCCAACAGTGAGGAACAGTGGGAGTTGCAGTCCAGAACATCTGGACAGGACCAGGTTGGGGAATGCTGGGTTCAAGGGTCCAGCAGGTTGGTCTGTGTGGAGAATTCTGGCATGTACAAGCAGATCCTATGTCTC